TTGATCGCTGCCTTCTGCCCATGCCCCAACCAAGGATGGAACCTGAAACCCAGGCATGTGCCTTGAGTGGGAACTGAATTGGCAGCCTTTCAGTCAGTGCATGGGACGACACTCAACCAACTGAGCTTCTCTGGCTGGGCTGGATAGAATTCTTTCTACTACAGATAGTGTATGTAACTAGGGGCCTATAATAACAATAAATTGACAATGTCATAAATGTCTACAAACTTATTTTATTAGTGTAGCTTATTTTTATTAGAATTTGCAGAAAGGATCTTTATGCTTTCTGGTACCCATATCATATCCTGTGCTATTATCATCTCAGGACCAAGACCAATGAGGAAGAAGTCCATGTTGGCAGGACAAAAAGAATTACTTAGGAAAGGTCCTCTCCAGCCTATTTTATTGTTTGTATCAGTTTCCTTAGGAATTTACTAAACTCTAACTTGTGTATAAAAATCTTTTGTCATCTAAAGTCTTTTGGAACTCTAGAGATGTATGAGCTGTGGACTTTTGTTTGACCAAAGAGGGGGTATATGTCTATTATAACATCCTAACTCCTGTCTCTAGACATTGGATAGAGGTAGGGCAAATTCTCTATTAGGTTAGACTTTTTGGTGACTCTCTATAACACCAAAGCATTAGAGAGTGTAGATATTTCTAAAACTTGTATCTGGACAGAGTATTCTCCATTTATTAACTTTACCATTCCATCTCCATGGACTTTTTATTAGGCCTTCTGCCAATCACATAGTCACAATGGATGTGTTAATCAAATTGACTTTTTCCCCCCTGCATAGTATCTACCAATCAACTTCACATTTTCCAACTGTCTAATATAGTATGACCTATGGTTTTGATTGCATAGCTTCTTATGACATTTTCTCTGACCACAGATACTGATTGACTTACTGTTGTAGAAAAGCCCTCTGTCATTCCTAGTTTTGTGTTTACTGATCCTAAACTCTGGACAATTATCTCTGCTTTTTCTCTATTACTAGCAAAGTATCAAGTCCAGCTCTTGTTAGTTATTAGTTGTAATAGCATTTTCTTTGAATACTTGATTAAACCATTCATCCCTTACCTGTCCATTGGCAGCAAATACATATATCCCCAATTTCTGCTATAACTTACATTAACTTGCTCCAGGTACTTCCACCTAATCTTGTACTATTAAATTTGATCGATCATCATGGCAAATCCACACTGAGTATATTATACTAAGAAGATCTGTGCTTTTTATCAGCATAACTAGATTAGTATCTGAAAGCAGCAGAAGACCCTACTGAGAGAACAGGTGTGCTCAGGGCCATTCCTGTTCTAGAGTTATAAACTACCTTTTTCCTAGAAACATTCTGTTTTGCTTTTCATATTACCTATATGATCATGACTATATAGATATAAAATATCTAGTTATTTTTATTTTTATGATATTCCTCCACTTCTCCAATACCTTCTGCTTGCTCTCAAGTAAAACAAACTACTGATTTTTTGGCCCTTGTCTAGACCACCTAGCTCCTAGGTCTTTGGTATTTATAATGACATGGGCACAACTCCCTCCTGATCATCTGTTTTCCGTGTCAACCATATATTCATGTCATAACTGTTTCCTCTGCCTCTTGGTTTCAAATTACTGACATCTCTCGTGTATTTTGAGTATTCAAAATCCAGATTTTTTAGATTGGCTTTTGTTTATTTGATTTTTACTTTACCTTTAGAGATTGCAAATGAAGAGTAGTTTAGAAGGAGATACAGTTCTAGATAAGTACTAAAGCCATGTTAAAGAAATAAATTTGTCTGTTCTCTTTCCTTTGACTAAGATTATACTGGGAATTTTTTTTTTTTTCCATAGAAGGCTACATTTAAGTAAAAGTTTATTTAATTTAATTATTAAAGGTGGTTGATGCATCAAAAATTGTCCTTTAAAATTTTTTTTTTAATGGATGCAGTGGGTAGAGAAACGTGGAAAAAGAGTAAGGAACATGATAAATTCCATAGTACAGGCAGAGAGATTTATCTTTCTCTTAAATAGGAAGCAGAAGAAGGAGATAGATACAGAAACTGAGATAAATTTAGGTGATATTTATGAATATAATATCTTATATTCATTAAGCACCATGTGCTTTGCATTGTGCTAGGTACTTTATATTCATTAGCTCATTTAATTTTCACAGCTCCCCTATGAAGTGTGAATATTATTACTCCCTTATTACTTTATAGCTGAGAAAACAGGCTTAAAGGCCCCAAGTTACTTGCCCAAGACCACTCAGCTTGTAAACTGCCCCAATCTGACTTCAAGTCTACATTCTCAACAGCTCTCTCTCTCTGAGTAGGCCTCTTTGTGGATAAGATTTATGTTTGTTAAGTAAGAATAACATTCATCTTTGAGTTTATAAAATATCTTAGAAATTTTCAGATCTGTCTCTATATCACTTCATAAGATTTGAATCCAAGCTAGTTAACCAAATATATTCAAGCAGTGCTTTCCTCCATTTTTTTATTTTTTTTTTTCCATTGTTGCTAATCCTCACCTGAGGATATTTCCTTCATTGATTTTTTTTTTTTTAATATATCTTTATTGATTTCAGAGAGAGGAAAGGAGAGGGAGAGAGAGAGAAACATCAATGATGAGAGAGTCATTTATCAAGCCCACAACCAGGGCATGTGCCCTGACCTGGAATCAAACCCCGATCGCCTGGATCCTAGGCCAACGCTTAACCGCTGAGCCACGCCCGGCCGGGCTCATTGATTTTTTTTAGATATAGTAGAAGGGAAGGAGGAGGGGGAAGAGAGAGAGAGAAACATCAATGTGAGAGAGACACAGTGATTGGTTGCCTCCTGTATGTGCCCCAACTGAGGCCAGGGAATGAACCTGCAACCAAGGTACATGCCCTTGACCAGGAATTGAACCTAGCACAGAGCCAATCTAATATATGATCTACATAAAATAAATTATAAAGCCTAGATATTATATAATATAATGTTATGTTGAAATGTATTGTGATAAGTATAAACAATACATTTACAATACACTTATCACAATCAGATCTATTCAATAGAAAATTAGCTGGAAAGAATTTTTTTTTTTATCTTAAGTTATCCTAGGACAAGGTAGACCCTAACTGGGTCTTAAAAATATGTTAGGCCATGGCTCTGGCCCTCAAGGAGCTTGAAATATATTGAGAAATGAGTAAGCAAGCAGATAACTGCAATTCAATGTATAAAGTGCTAGGATCGTGGTAAGTGCAGGATTCTATGGAATCACATAAAAGGGGCACCTAAGGTGGGATCATTACTTTCTATGATACAAATCCTCAAGCACTTAGCATAGTGCTAAGCATATGACAGGCATTTAAGTATTTGATGAATTGAAACATACTTGATTTTTCCCCAAAGCATGAATCTGTACTTAATTTTTGCTTAAAACAATGTCTTCAAACTTTGTATCAAAATGATTTTCTTTATGGATACTTTTCATGTTATATTAATTTCAATAACTGTATAAATTAATCAGTATCTATAGCTAACTCTCTTTTATGTATATGTATATATGTGTGTGTGTGTGTATATATACATATGTATATATGTGTATCTTTATTGATTTCAGAGAGAGGAAGGGAGAGGAACGTCAATGATAAGAGTCATTATCGGCTGCTTCCCGCATGCCCCCTACTGGGGATGGAGCCCACAACCCGAGCATGTGCCCTGACTGGGAATCAAACCACTGCTGAGCCATGCCGGCCGGGCCCTAATTCTTGAATATAACTGGTAGTAGACAAAAGGAAAGACTGTACTTTAGGAAAAGCTATGTCCCACAGTGCTGGACACTTAATAAATGTTTAAAAAGAATTAGTTTTTTAAAGCTTCAGAATTAATTCAATAATTTCTCTACCCATGCCATCAAACTCTTTAAAGGAATTTCTTATTCCTTTTTTCCCCATTGCTTTTCAGAGAGAGTGGGAGGGGGAGAGAGAGAGAAACAGAAAGAGAAACATTGATTGGTTGCCTCCCACACTTGCCTGGACCGGGGCCAGGGATGGAGCCTGCAACTGAGGTATACATGCCCTTGACTGGAATTGAATCTGAAACCCTTCAGTCTGAGGGCTGAGATGCTCTAACCACTGAGCCAAACCTGCTAGGGTATCTTATTCTCAATTATTAAGATTAGTTGTGATGATAAGAGAGAACATGAAAAGTATGGGTTTTGTGCAATAATAAACACTGTGTTAACCAGTGGGAACTCTGAACAGGTAAATGAAAGTCATATCCTCGGCAAATCTGAAGAAGAATATCTTACAATCCCTCTGTTGTATACTAGGCACATTTACATATGATTGGAGTCAGAACTAATGCATATGAAAAATTAGAGGTCAATGCTAAATTCTTTGGTAGTGACTGTAAATATGAGTTCATTGACTGATTCAATAAATATTAGGCTCCAACATCAAGGGCCTATAGACATACAGTCTGGGGAATAAGGCAGGAAAACACAATCACGGTACAGTGTGATTCAGTAGAAGTAGGTACCAAGTACTGTTGGTATACAAAGGAGGAGCAGCTAATGGGACAGAGAAAGGAAAAATTGGTATGGGTTGGATTAGTCATATAGACTTACAACTATAGGCAATGTGATATCATTTTATTGTGACTGTGTCTTGTTACCTGATGTATTTTTTTAGGAACTTGTATTTTTTATTTTGTGAAATGAAATTATAAACCCCCAAAGTCATTTACTTGTTGAACATGCCAGTAGCTCCTCCAATTACAGTATAATTTCTCATTATACTGTGTTGTACCAACTATAAACTATATTCAGAGCCAGGTATGTGTAATTCAGTGAGCAAATAAGATATCTACTTGGTCTACTATTTATTATGTTGTGCAGATCTAACTAGTAGGAATAATTAATATGCGTTAAGCATAAAGATTATAAAATTTATTTTAAATATTAAGTAGTTTTGATCAATTTAACAGTCCTTTTTCTTTTGTTGTTTCTTAAGGGTCTACTGTATTTGCTAGTAACAGACCAGGGGTTTCTTACTGAAGAAAAAGTTGTTTGGGAAAGCCTACACAATGTCGATGGTGATGGAAATTTCTGTGACTCAGAATTTCATCTGCGGCCTCCTTCAGATCCTGAAACTGTATACAGAGGACAGCAAGATCAGATAGATCAGGTAAATTTGTTTCTTCCTTTCAAATAGAAATTTAGTTATCCAGAACGTTTGAACTAAAGATTTATTCATTAATATACTTGTGAAATTTTTCTGAAACTTCCTAAATAGGTAAGTGATCATTCTATATATACATTAATTATATACTTTGGTCCAGAAGGCCAAATCATATAGAACTGTGCAGGTCATGGTAAAGAGTTTGAATTTTATTTCAATTGTAATAGGGAAGATATGCCAAGTGTATCACGTGGAAGTGGCATGATCCACTTCACCTTTTTAAAAGGTTGCAAGGGCCCGGCCGGGCATGGCTGAGCGGTTGAGCATCAACCTAGGATCCAGGAGATCTGGGTTCGATTCCCAGTCAGGGCACATGCCCAGGTTGTGGGCTGCAGCTGATCAATGACTTTCTCATCATTGATGTTTCTGTCTCTCTCTCTCCCCCTCCTTTCCTCTCTCTGAAATCAATAAAGATATATTTAAAAAAAAAAAAAAGTTGCAAGGTGGAGAAACAGAGAAAGAACACAGGTATAAGTAGAGACTAGTAGTCCAAGCAAGAGGTTATGCTTAGCCTTGGGTGGTAGAGATGAAGAGACAAGTACATATTTGAGATATATTTTAGCTAATCAAAAAATGTAGAAAAGAGGAAGTCTTGAAGATTGCATGCACTGGATAAGTGTAGGTGAGTATTCTAAGCCTTAGAGTTCAGTTTAAAGAAGAGTAGACTAGTGAGTAGAATTCCCATTTAGAACTGAGACATGTAAGAGTTTTGCCTTCTATAGGTGAGCCATCTTGCTGCCACAATGTGTTTATCACTAGAAGTATAACAGTGATGTGACTTTTTCTCCAACTGAGGCAGAAATATGGTTATGTTAAATGTTTGACACTTGTTTTGCTGATAACAATTTAAGTGCATAGAAACTGGGTTCATTTAGCCAGTATTCACTGAGCAATTATATTTCTAGCATTCTAACTAGATCCTGGGGACACAAAGATAAATCATTCAGTTTTGCCTTCAAAGATACTGCAGTTTAGCAAGGGAGGCAATTATTTAACCAACTAACATTATATGTTATTATATAATGGCAGTTTGAGTAGCAAGGTATGAGTGCACAAAAGAATACTGGATTCAGCCCGGCCGGGCGTGGCTCAGCGGCTGATCATCCACCAAGGATCCAGAAGATCAGGGTTTGATACCGGGTCAGGGCACATACCCAGGTTGCGGGCTTGATCCCGTCAGGGGCGTGTAAGAGGCAGCAGATCAATGACTCATCATTGATGTTTCTATCTCTCTCTCTCCCTGTCCCTTCCTCTCTCTGAAATCAGTAAAGGTATATTTAAAAAAAGAAGAGGAATACTGGATTCAAGCAAATGTAAATATTTCTAGGACTTTTGGCCTTCCTTTGACTGTCATAATAATAAACATACCCATTTTCCTTCAGAAGCTATATAGGGGCATTGTTTTTTAAATATTACTTAAGAGAAATGTGCACGATTTTTCTAACCATTATATACACAAAATATTGGAGCAGAGAGAAAGAAAGTAAAGCAATCAATTGCCACAGGAGGTCCATTTGTAAGGTCTGAGATTTTATAGATAGATAGATGATAGATGATTGATAGATAGATGATGATAGATGATAGATAGATAGATAGATAGATAGATAGATAGATAGATAGATAGATAGATAGATACATATAAATGATAGTTGATAGTGTCTATGGAAGTAGCAAGGAAAGAGTGGATTTAAGACCATGGGTCTTGGCAAAGAGCAGAGTTTGAAGAATTGAGGAAAATTTTTGAAAGATAAATTCTTGATGTCAGTAAGGTAGTCATGCTAGATAGTACAAGGACTTCACAAGCATATCCTCTGCAACTTTTAAGTTTTTTTTATTTTGAGGTAGATGGGGGAAGGCGCACAGAGCAGTCAAGTTTCATTCAGCACTAATTTTTAAAATATATATATATATATTTTTTATAATTGATTTTAGAGAGAGGCAGGGAGAGGGGGAGAGAAATAGAAACATCACTGATGGGAGAAAATTATTGATTGGCTGTCTCCTGCATGCCCCTTACTGGGGGACTGAGCCCATAACCTGGGCATGTGCCCTGACTGGGAATAGAACCGTGATCTCCTGGTTCATGGGTCGACAAGCAACCACTGAGCCAAGCTGGTCGGGCCAACACTAATTCTTAATTTAAGTGGGTGTTAAGTTAGATACTATAACTTTTGACCAAAGATGCATCACTTTTTCTCACAGGAAATAATCTGTGTGTGTATATGTGAGGGAGTGGTAATGGTTACATAATTGCATATGACTGTGTGGTGGACAACTCTGTGGCTTTAAAAATCATGTTTTGGAAGAATATTTAATAAATAATGGAAAATTCTTATGATTTTAAAAAACAGAAGACTTTCATCACATTAAATGGGGAAAAAAACATTACAATAATTTTAGGGGTTGGGAGATGTGTTTGAGTTTGTCAGTATAGAAAAAACTAGGTGGAATATATTAATTATTAATAGTCGTTATCTCTGTGTCATATTATTGTGGTAATTTTAACTTATTTATGGTTTCTATTTTGTCCTAATTTTCTACAGACGTGTTTCTTTTGTAAACAGGGGAACTTTTTTTTTTTTAATGTATCTTTATTGATTTCAGAGAGAGGGGAGAGAGAGATAGAAACATCAATGATGAGAGAGTCATTGATCAGCTGCCTCCTGCACGCCCCCGACTGGGGACCGAGCCGGCAACCAGAGCCATGTGCCCTGACCGGGAATCAAACCGCCATCTCCTGGATCCTAGGTCAATGCTCAACCGCTGGCCCACACCCAGCCAGGCTGGGGGGAACTTTAAGCTTTCTCAAATATCTTATATACTGCTTCTAGAAAGAATTTCAAATGAATTCCAAAAATATTTAGAACGGCAGTATCATTGAAATAAGTTTATACTCCCAAGCAGAAACGCTTAAATAACTTTTATTTTTATAGTTAAGCTCTGGTATGTTTTTAAAAAGCCATTCTCATAGTTTTGTAGATATAACCTCTGTATTTGCACTCATTAGTTCTTGGGTAAAGTCTCATAGCTAAGGATGATTATAATTTAATTTCTTAGGACTATCTTATGGCATTATCTCTACAACAAGAACAGCAGAGTCAAGAGATCAATTGGGAACAAATACCTGAAGGAATCAGCGATTTGGAACTAGCAAAGAAACTCCAAGAAGAAGAGGACAGACGGGCCTCTCAGTATTACCAGGAACAAGAACAAGCAGCAGCCACTGCCGCTTCTACTTCTGCTTCTACACAGGCTCAGGTGAAACCAGTGCTCTGGTTTTAAACATAACGATCACCTTAACAATAAAGAAATTTGTGCTGAGATAAGAAATTTTAAATTAGTATTGACTCTTCAATTATGCTAGCATTTTAGTGCCCATTAGGTTTTTGGGTGGGTTTGTTGTTGTTGTTATTTAATATATTTTTATTGATTTCAGAGAGAGAGGACAGGAGAGGGAGAGATAGATAGAAACATCAATGATGAGAGAGAATCATTGATGGGCTGCCTCCTACATGCCCCCTGCTGGGGATCGAGCCTGCAACCCAGGAATGTGCCCTGATGGGGAATCGAACATCTGTCTCCTGGATCATAGGTAGATGCTTAGCCACTGAGCCACACTGGCCAAGCAGTGCCCGTTAGGTTTTATAACATTATCCTTTTTTTTTTTAATTCTCACCTGAGGATATTTTTTCCATTGCTTTTCAGAGAGAGTGGAAGGGGGAGAGAGACAGAAAAAACAACAACACATCGATGTGAGAGAGACACATCGGTTGGCTGCCTCCCACACACGCCTGACTGGGGCCAGGGATCGAGCCTGAAACCGAGGTACGTGCACTTGGCCGGAATTGAACCTGGAACTCTTCAGTCCTTGGGCCAGTGCTCTAACCACCGAGTCAAACGAGATAGGGCATATTATCCTATTTTTGTGGTTATCTAAATAATCTTCTCATTTAATGAAGTTATTTTTCCTAAGGTTCTGATGATAAGATTTTTCAAATTTATTTTTTTCAGTTATTAATAGCTGCAAAGAATATAAACCAATTTAAGCAGTCTTTTCTGTCCATTAGAGGGCAGTATGAGGTACTACTGGAAAGAATGGACTTCAGGGCCAGATAGATGTGGGTTTGCATTTTCCTGCAACACCTTGGACAAAGCCCTCTGCATCTTAGCCTCGTTTTCTCTGTCTGTAAAATAGATGATAATACTTAACTCTTAAGGTTTGTGGTTTAGAACTAAACCCAGTGTCTAACATGTGCTAAGTAGTGAACCAAGAATAGCACTTTCCCACTTTTTACTTAAATTTTTTAAGCACTGCAAATGTGACTGTTAAGTGGGTTTCTGTGTGTTAATCTTATTGCACTAAATGAAAAAAATAATCCCCTTTTTTATGTTTAACTGTACCATGCCAGAACTGTTCCTTTGATTTGTGTACATAAGAAAGTGAGATGCCCTTTAAAGGTTGATGAAGATTTATAGAGGTCTCCATTAAAATAAGTATAACATACCTATTTCTAGCTCAAATACTGACTACCCCAAGCTTAAAAGTTAAAACCTTCCATTTAAAAAATTTCTCTTATTTCACCAAATACACTTATTCCACACTCTCCGTTTTCAAGATTTTTTTTTTTCTCCTTTTAAGATCTGTTTATTATGATATTTAATGGGATCTTGGAGACGTTGTAGTTTACCAAATGGTGTCACTTTCATTAACATTCTCTAAACTTTAACATAAATAATTTCTTGAATTTGAAACTTCAGTCAGTATAATTTTACATGACATTATTTATTGTTTGAAATTCTATTTACTTATAATAACGGCTACATTAATTATATCTATCCAGAATGGCAGAGGCAAATATTCAGATACCATGTAACATAACAAGTTTATATACTAATAGCTTCTTTTTTTATTGAGTCCTTTCACTCTTATGGTTTTTCTTTCTAGATAACTATGATTAAGCACCTTAGAAAAGTTGAGGTAATTTCTTCCTGTTTATTTTTCCTAAAGCAAAGCCAGCCAGCACAAGCCTCTCCATCAAGTGGAAGACAATCTGGAAATAGTGAACGTAAACGAAAGGAACCTCGAGAAAAAGATAAAGAAAAAGAAAAGGAAAAAAATAGCTGTGTTATTTTGTAACAAGTGTTGGATTTTATTGGAACCATCTACATGTCTTGAGAAACAAAACCACAGGAGGAAAGGAAGAAAAACCGATAAAATACCGTCTGTGCCTGATTTCCCAATGGATTTTGTTCATGTTTTTCAGGGGAAAGGTTGTTACTTAGCTACAATCAGACTTTTTCAAGTCACACAGTACACTATTTATGAGCTGGAGTTTCATGTTACAAGTTGGAAATGCTGTGTGTTGTCATTCATGAAAAATACTGCACTTGTAGCCAATTAAGCAAATCACAGCAAATTTTGTGTCATAGTGACATTCATAACTCATATCAGTTAGTAAGCTATTTTATCTTCTGTTCTAACAATGAATGGAGGTAATTAATTGATTTTGTCTGATTCCTTCCTGAAATCTAAATATTAGCACAATAATTTCTGAAATTAATTTTTACAATGTTAAATTATGATCCTAATCCACAATAAACCAGGGGTTTAATATAGGAATTTAAAAAGAAAAAAAGACAAAAAATAACAAGAATAAATAACTCTTAATTGTATATTGGACTAGTTCAGCCCTTGAACAGCTTTACCTTTCTTTAGGAATATACATTTTAGATATTATCGTGAAAACTGATAATGGAGCTTGGATTTAATTAGATAGAAAAAATAAAGATTTGTATTTCTTTTCCAATAGCAAAAAAATTATGTAACACTAATACTCATATCCTAGCAAAATCAGATATTATGACTTTGTAGTATTGTGAAATTTTGAGGAATTTTGAAATCTTTAGCATAGGTAACTTGGACCACAGTTACTTTTACTGACTGTAATAAGTGAGAGCAAGAAGGAAACCACAGTGGATGCTGGGCTTTGTAAATAGGGGGATGTAGAAAAGCAAATAGTTCAATGTCTACCTTTTTCTAGAATTACCTTGAACCTTAAAATTTAAATCATGTTTATTTGCTAGAAAATTAAGTATACTTATTAAAACCAACAAAAAAAGCACATTTCTGAAAGGAAGTTAGATAATCTCTGAGTCTAATAAAAAAGCTGTAATAAAAATCTGTTGGAGGAATTTATATAAAAGCAATCAGATTTTTTTAACTTATGGGAACCAAATAAACCTATAACATCTTGTAGTGTTTGTAGGATTCAGAAAGAATATTTATTGAACTTTATCATGAGGCAACACATATATTTCTGTATTTCTAGATATAGTTTGGAAAACTATCCTTAATCCCTTTTATATGCTTTATATTTAAAAGTTTGTTTTAGTCATTTTTGAAATGACTATTGCTGCTGCAAGTAGTTATGTGATTTACATTCTAAGCCTCAGTAAATTTGTTTTAAGAGCATCAATCTAACCTGAGCATCCACTTGGAGAATGTTTTTTGTGGTCTGGGTGACAATAGACTACAAAAAAAAAAGTGGTCTAGACTGCTTAAGCTATGTCCTTAACATTCTCTGTGATCCAAGAGGATTAGTCTACATGTAAAAAGTAAAGTCTTATTTATGGAAGGAATTATTCTAAGGGAAAAATCCAGGGTCAAGCTGTATCTTTTATGTCTTATGTATTGCGTGTCTGTTTATGTTACACCATTTGTTATTCCTCAGATTTCCTATGCTAGCACTATAATCACCAGAGAAGCTGTTTGGGGTATGAAAGTTTGACATAAAGTATGCATACATTGGTAAAGTAACCAAATGTACTACAGAATTCTCTGTAGGCTCAAACAAGTTGACCTTAGTCCAGGTTCACTGTTGATAACACTCTGGTTGAAGGAGGAGGCTAAAACCTCAGGTTTGTTTTTCCCCAGACAGATAGTAGTGACAGTGCATTATATTTTAATAAGAAAAAAACAAAACAGTAAATCCTGAGAAATTTAACAAAGCATATTTGAGGCATATTTTCCCATAATTATATACTTATCTATTTATTACCCTTGAAAAACATATGTGAAGTTATTCTGCTGTTTGCTACTGTCTTCTTAATTTGTTCCAAAGATAATACTGCCGTTCTCCATTCCCTTTGGAAGAAAAAAACACCACTCAAACGCAGCAGTGCTATCAGATAAGTAGATGTTAATGTATACATATAAGAAGTAACTAAAACATGTAATGTGTTTGTTAAGTCAGCCTTTTTCTATGTAATATTTCCAAGTCAGATTTTCTTACATTCCTGGAATGTTTGATATACCAAGAATAATGATGATAAAATGTTTGCTTTGATTACTGCGGGGGCGAAATTAAATGTTCAATTCTATTAAAACAAAGAAAATTCTTGGAGATACTGGTTTCCCATCCTTGAAGGTTATAAAGAATTTAGAGCTATTGTGTCTTTATTATATTTTGCTCAAGGCAACAAATTATACTCAGACATTTCATTACTGGTTTGGGTATATTGGAATTTGATAGTGGTATATTAAAGTCTTTCCTTCACAGTATTTTGCAGTACTTGAAAGTTGTTACGTGTATACTGCTAGCAGCAGTTAAAACTCAAACATTTTTGTTTTTAATATTTATAGGCTAGATTAGGGGCACATTTGCATCAGCCAATCACCATTACAGCTAGCAAAAGAGGCACATGAATGAATGATATGATCACTGCACTTTCTTGTACTTTCAAAACCTGTTCCTTAAGGTTAGTGACCAGTCTTTATTAACAAGGTGAATTGTCTTCCTGTGTAATCCCATTGAATCAACAGTGCTATGATAAACAATAGGCTTTTGACATTTCAAAGTACTTGTTTTGTATTTCTAAAGCAAGGATCCATGCTTCTGTTAGATTCTGAAAGGAATCTGGGGATTTTTCCTCAAATTTAAGAGTCAACATTTTAAGAATACACACACTGGGCAGCTTGAGGCAGCTAACATCGGCAGTGGCTGCTTCCTGTGAGGTGCTGGTCCACTGTGCCTGGGGAAAGGAACGCTGCCTCCGGGCGGCGGGGCGGCAGGTAAATGAGGATAGATTTAAGTTCAGGATTAGACTTTGGGGTATATTTTGTTCTATGTCTAGTCTAGTATTTGTCTAGTCTAGTCACATGTCTAGTATTTGACTACTTATCCCTTATGTTTTGAATTCATCCTCATACTTCTTGATCTTAGTTTAATGAAGCAAGTTAGTGTCAGAGATTAGTTGGCTGAACCCAATATTAACCACTTTGTACTTGCACAGAAACTTATTTTGTTTTTAATGAATCACCACCTCAGTTCACTAAGAGACAAGATCTTGAGAGGAAAGGACTAGAAGTCAGATAGATACTGAAGGAAAGAATTACTGTGGTCCCTGTATTAATGTAGGCATATGAAGCAGAAAAATCGAGGCAAGAATTCCCAGACTGTCCTAAAACAATCTCATTTATTTAAAAAAAATTTTTTTTAAGCAAAAAGCAAACTTTCTTATTCAATATGCCAGTTATTTAAAGATGGAAAGCTATGGGCTTTACCTATCACACAACACTTGAGCATACAACTGAAACTATAATTGTAAACTTATGTTTGATAGAGGCATTGAAGATAGTATTCAAGTTATATTTTAAGGAACTGGAAATGTTGAATTCTGAATCATTTTATGTCTAAAACCTGACTCTTATCTGGCCATGGTAAAACTTTCTGTGCCTCAGTTTACTCTATGTAAATGATACTTACTTTTTTAGTGCTTTGCACTCCTGAATAAAGGGCATAGTATAAGCACAAAGTATTACTTAAATAATCATAAATATTACACATCTTTTGTTCTTGAATGTGCAGATTTTTTCCGCGATGACAATATTTCCTAAGCCAGTTTTTTAATGCTGTCAAAATTTGTAGAACTATCTTGCCTTTGAGTATGGCATCATCTCTTCTCAAAATGTAGTTTACAGTTGCTGTTGTGTTCTGTGGACTATAGGGTCAAAATTGAGTATTTGGGGAGAATAAAAACAAACATTTTATTTTTTCCAAGACCTTTCATATATCTAAATATTTAGTCTCTGCCTTTTCCTCCATGGGATGAAGTACAGTGGTATTAGGTTACTAATACTATATATGTAAACTTTATTGCATGGATGGAATTCGTTTAGATCTCTCTCTCAAATACTGTCATTTTTAGGGCTATTTACATTATTTGGTTTTTAGCATAAAATGTTATTTGATAATGTGCAGTTAAATTCCATTTAGAAAGTGACTGAAAATGGTAAAGGAACTCATCAGAATCAGAGTTCTTAGGTTCTCTGTTAATTTAGTGTCATTTCTTTTAATGATGTCCAACATTTCTGAAGCTATTAGGAAAATATGAAGAATTGAGGTTATTCTTCTTGGGTGACACTATAAAACAAAGTAGAAGTTAAAATAGGAGGCTTCCTGGACAAAATAAATCGCAAAATAGAGATAATGGAATCTGAGTGACAAATTACAAGACCCTGATAAATTTAACTTTGAGGATCTATCTAAATTTTAACTCCTGCAGGTACCTTACCTAATTCTTGTGTTTCTTCTGTTAAATTAGAGTTTAATAAATTGATACACATGTATATTTTTACATGAAGGACTCTAGTGTCTAATTTCACTTCTATCTCAAAAACATTAAACTCAAAAACAGGGTAAAAATCTTCAACTACTGCTGCAAGTTCAGCTTCATATTATTGTTCCGAGAAAGGAGATTTGACTTGTCTGCCTATAACAGATTTTTTTAGGGCATGGCACAATCCCAGATAAGATGTCAAAATACCAGGGCAGAAATACAAAACCTAAGTTATAAACCACAGTAGATTAAAGGACAAAAATTGTATTATTTTTCTACAAAAGTCTCTCTACTTCGTCAGATATTAGTTCTACGAATTTCTTCAAATCATGTAGTAATTTGTCACCAATATCTTTAAAAACTTTATATCCATCTTTACTGTAATATCCTGCTTTGAGAGGCAGGGATGCCTCCTAGATTAGAAAATGCACAAAGCAAAATTCTGAAGGTGATCCTGACTTCTTAGGCTTTAGTAGATAAGCTTTAATTAGGAAGTCAGGAGACTAAATTGTCCATTTAAATTCCCAAATCAGCCACCTGTCCAAATGAACATTATAACAAATGGCCCAACTGAGCAATTCTAACTAATGGGATGTGTTTTAAGACCAAGAATGGCACTTAATCTTTGAAGCGATGTCCTGTGTGTCTCCCAATTTTCTTAGTTTTTGTTCCTTTTCACATCTTAATTCCGCGAAATAATTTTTTTAAGAGTACATAGGATATCTAAGCTTTACAGATTTTTAAAGATGAGGATTTGAAAAGCTTCCAATGGTTTTCATTAAAAGGCTTTATCTTCCTCAATAAAATTACTATTGTTTTCACAGATCTGGACATCACAAATAAGACAATATGATAGAAGATTGATGCGTGATTGCTACACAACAGTCAGCAAAAGGCATAATCTTCACTTGTGAAACTTCAGAGGAAACCTAAAAGTTCTTTCCTAAAGTTAGTGCATGTGAGTCTTTCTCCATGAATTGCGCAGAATAATTGAATTGCCACATAGATTTGGGGGAATAGCAAGTGAATTGGTGTAAAGACGGCAGAAAAAGTGATTTTGAAATATAGCAAAAAGAAGAAACAAGTTTTCCCCCTCTACTTTACTGTTGGACTATTTGGGTCAAGAAGTTGCTATGATATATTAGAGATCTCTTTGTGTCAGACCAAGATTGGCCAATGGAAACGGAGTTCTCAAAGAGTTTAAATATATTGTGTATGAGTGTCCATTTTTTCTCCTTTCTTTTACCATCTCATTGCCGTTCCTACTTCTGAAATAATTCACCTGCCTTGCTTTATGACCAGCTTGAATTCCAGTTTAAGAATAATAGCAACCCTAGAGCTGATAGGAAAGAGCACTGAAACATTTTTTTAAAATAAAGACACCTTAAAGCATCTACCCAACTTAGAGTTGAACTGAATTTCTATGAAAGTTACTGTCCTAAATACTAATTATGCTAAAACTATTTAATTCTAAAAACTATGTCTTAAGCTTCAAAAATTTCACTTTTGGAGGATATTCCTAAAAAAAGGCATACTGAACATAGATGGGAAAGTATAAAATATTTCTGACAATTATTCAGTATTATTCAACATTTAATTTCATGTTTGTTACTGTACCACAAAGATGGTGTCATTCTTGGATTTTAAAATGTTGGATTTCTTGTTAATATGCTTAAAACTGTAACCAGTGATAACACCCTTAGTATTTTTATTATAGATTATATTTTATTTCAATAAACTTTGATATTTAGACCAAATGGTCTTTCTCCTATGTATATTAATCTTATTAAGCTACTTTTTAAAAATATTTTTATTGATTTCAGAGAGAGGGAGAGAGACAGAGAAACATGAATGATGAGAGTCATTAATCAGCTGCCTTCTGCACAGTCCCCACTGGGGATGGAGCCCGCAACCGGGGCAGGTACCCTGACCGGGAATCGAACCATGACCTCCTGGTTCATAGATCAGTGCTCAACCATTGAGCCACACCACCCAGACTACTTTGTTTTTTACTCCTCACCTGAGGATATGTTTTCTTTTTTTAAAAAATACATTTTTATTTTTTTTTATTGATTTCAGAGAGAGGAAGGGGATTGCTTCTCAGCCTTTTGTCTAAGATCAAGTGGAGAGAGGGAGAGGGAGAGGGAGAGGGAGAGGGAAACATCAATGATGAGATAGAGTCATTGATTGGCTGCCTCCTGCACGCCCCCGACTGGGGATCAAGCCTGCATGTGCCCTGACTGGGAATCAAACTCTTAGAATGCTTGGACCAACTCTTGATAAAGACAGGTCCCTTCACCCCAGGCAATGCACAATGAAACAATGAACTGTAGACCATGTAGTTAATTACCTGACCCCAATGGTAGATTTGGTTGTTATATCTGACACTTCTACCTTCTTGGAGGACTTGTTAGAAAGAGCTGAGAGTGGATCAGTTTCTCTTTATACCAAGCCAACTGTACTGTAAAGCTTTTTGTACAACACTTTAAGGTCCATCCAAGCCAGCTACTGTCTGGCATTTCTCTGTGAACGCTTTGGTAGACTCCGAAGCCCTCTAAGAATTACTCATCCCAGTGTTCTGCTGACCTCCCATCATTTTAGCACTTAAGCTAGACTGTGAGCCTATTAAGGACACAGATCACGTCTGATTCATCTTGATTTTCTTGGCACATTACATAATCATTGGTACTTTAAATGAACTCAAATTATTTACAGGAACTTAATTTTTAAAAAATATATCTTTATTGATTTCAGAGAGAGGAAGGGAGAGAGAGAGAAACATCAATGATGAGTCACTGATCAGCTGCCTTCTGCACACCCCCGACTGGGGATCGAGCCCACAACCCGGGCATGTGCCCTGACCGGGAATCGAATCTCAATCTCCTGGATCCCAGGTTGACATTCAACTGCTGAGCCACGCCGGGCCGGGCTACAGGAATTTTTAAAAATACCTATACGAGTTATCGCCTGCTTGTGCTTTAGATAAGTGAGTTGGGTTATTGAATTAGTTTTCCCCTTTAGCATAAAAGTTACGTACATGGAGGGAACTAGAATCTTTAATCCTTTCCCCACCCTCTCCTCTCTGATTTCCCCTGGGTATCATCCTGCACCCTCCTACAGCCAATGGAACAGCAGCCCCAGCAAAACTAAGGTCAGCAGCATCGCTGCTCCCCCACTTCACAGCCCCCTTGCAGGGTCTCTTTCCTCACTTTATATTAGCCTGTGAAATAAGCACCTGTTAAATTGCTGGAGCTGAGATTGGAAGGAAGCAGTCTGATCCTAAGCCTGCACTTATAAATATCTGGAAGGACAGATAAATCTAGCTCAGCTCTGTGTTCAGATTCTGACTCTGGACTTTTAAAGTTACATTTGATTCAAACCCTACAGAAATCTTCAACATTGGGCCTACTAGTCTTTTATGTACTCTGTGTAGTCTTAGATCAAGTTAATTCTGCGCAGCCTATTTTCTTATCTCTAAAATGGAATAATTTTTACCTCTTGAAATTGTAATAATGTACCTAGTGTCATACATAATAAAGTCAATAAATTGTAGCATTGTTAATAACAGACTAGGGACTTTTTTTTTTTTTTAACCTAGCCAAGAACTTTCAATGAGAAAGTTTTGATTAGGGAGATTCAGGGCGATGGCCCGTGCGCATCCGCAGGCCCAAAGCAGGCCGCCCGCTCAGAGGCTGTTGGGTGCGTGGTTCTCCCGGTGCCGCAGCCAAAACTAGAAACAGTCCCACCCAGAGGAGAGGCCAGGTGAGCGCGAGCCCGCTGCCACCACTCGGTTCCCAGGACAACCCAGAGGGGCCTTAGGGGTACCCTGGGCTGGGTAGGGTTGGCCCAGTATATCTGAGCTTTCAAAAAACCTTTCACCCCATTTCTCCAGCTGGTAACTTCTGTATGCTGGGGACGCAACTATCTGGTCTCTTGGAAACATTACTGTGCGGGGTCCTCCTTCCCCTGCAGATTCAACTTGACACTTTAATAAATCAGCTCTTTCTTTCTTGTATGTGATGGAAGAGTTTAAGGAGAAGCAAAGCTGCCGCCTTTGGGGGAAATAACTTTTTTAAGCCCTACTTTAAAAGACAAAAGCTGGAGTTTACGAATATATTAATGGCCCGTTAACATCACATAGAATACCTACAACATGCAAAGCACAGTGCTGACAGCTCTGGGGTATCACAGATTACATAGTTCTTGTTTCTGGTATTGGGAGGAGTCTAGTCTCAGAAAAAAAAGTAACTCAAGGTAGGCATCACTGAGAGGCTCCTGTTGGCCTGGGGCACTGCAGCTTAACAGACGGACTTCGTATCTTCATTCAAAGAGCATATTCCTTATTACAGAATACGTAATTCCAGTAGAAGCTTTAGAAGTCAACAAATGAATCTACTCCTAGGTATCTTTTAAGTTAATTCAACAAGGAGGCCTTTAGACCGCAGTGGCTGCAACGCCTCGGCAGCCTACAGTGGCAAACCAAACCCTAGGGCGCAACCGCGAACAGCCCAGAGGCTTTCCCATACGGCCCCCGTGTAAGCTGCAGCCAAGTCATCCTGCTTTGCTTTGGCGTCTTCTCTATAAAAGTATTAACTCTAGTTCCTGACGGTGGTTAGGAGCTACCTGATTCGAACTGTTTGCCCAAATTCTTAAAAAAATCTCAAGATGCCTTTATCAAGAGTATGCACTAAAAAAGGAATTGAAAGCAGACTCGGGTCATTGTACACAATGTTCACAGAAGCATTATTTATTTTACTGATCTGAGAGCAGCACTGATTTGTCGCTCCACTTATTTATGCATTCACTGGTTGACTCTTGCTTGCGCCCTGACCAGGGACAGAACCTGCAACTGTGGCGTATCGGGCGACGCTCTAACCCACTGAGCTGCCCAGCCAGGGCCTACCACAGCAGCATTATTCAGAATAGCAAAAGGCAGAAACATTTACATGCCCATCGATGGATAAATGAGGATCAAAAGTGGCACGTACACACAATGGAAGACTCAGCCTTGGCCTTTCAAAGGAACGGCATTCTCACATGCTGCCACGTGGATGAGCCTGAAGACAAGCTGAGTGAAAAACGCCTTTTAAATACCCGAGTGCTGGCACCACATGGGCTTAACTTTGGGCTCCCATCTGCGAGGCCACCTCCTGAAATGAGAGTTCTGACCTAACTGACCTCCTCTGAGGACTGAGAGACTGGTTCAGTGAGACATGGAATAATCTACCAACTCAGCTTCTAGACTGTTACTTATTGGGGACAGTTCAAAGGAATGATGGGTAGCAGGATATGCCACCCCAAAATATGCCTCTTTGGCATAAGGGTTGTTTTGAGCTAATTATTTAATCCTTACCTGGGGATATGTCTTACTGATTTTGAGAGAGAGAGGCAGGGAGAGAGACATCGATGTGAGAAACATGGATCAGTTACCTCCCACACATGCTCAGACCGGGACTGAACCCGCAGCCTTTGGTGTGGGGATGACACTCCAGCCAACTGAGCCACCCGGCAAGGGCATGAGCTAATTATTCAGAGAACCAGCAGACACAAGCAAAACTCTGAAAACACAGAAGTTACTGTTTGGTAAGGGAAAAAACCAGGAGAGTCAGAGTTGTACACTAAATGGGTGAATTATATGGTATATGAATTCTATTTCAATCAAGTGGTTTTGAAAAACTCAACAAAATTTTAATTTTTTTTTTTTACATATATCTTTGTTGATTTCAGAGAGAGGAAGGGAGAGGGAGAGAGAGATAGAAACATCAATGATGAGAGAGTCATTGATCAAGCCCACAACCCGCGCATGTGTCCTGACCGGGAATCGAACCCTGATTGCCTGGATCCTAGGTCGACGCTCAACCGCTGAGCCACGCCCTGCTGGGCAACAAAATTTTAGTAAATCAAATTTAGGGGTGTGTGTGTGTGTGTGTGTGCACACGCGCGCATAATACACCATACATGTACTTTCCCTGGTATACAAGGTTGATTTAACATTCAGTATCAGTTAATGTAATTCACCACGTTAACAGAATGAATGGTAAAATCCATATGATCACCTCAACAGACACAGGAAAAGCATTTGACAGAATTCAAAACCCATTTGTAATAAAAACTCTTAGCGTAGGAGGGAGCTTACTCAACCTCATAAAGGCTATAAATGAAAAACTCGACATCACACTTAATGGTGAAAAACTGTTGTTTTCCTAATAAAGTTGGGAACTATTAAAAAACGTCTGCCCTCACTACTCCCATTCAGCATATTTTGTTGGAGCTATCAGCCAAGGCACAAAGGCAAGGGGAGCCCTGGCCGGTGTGGCTCAGTGGTCGAGCGTAGTCACGCACCGACAGGCCGCCAGTTTGGTCCCCGATCAGGGCACATGCCTGAGTTGCCGGCTTGATCCCTTAAGGGGGTGTGTAGGAGGCAGCGATCTTTCTCTCCCACACTGATGCTTCTCTCCCTTCTCCTCTCTAAAATCAATAAGCATGTCCTCGCGTGAGGACTAAAAAAAAATAAAAGAATGCAAAAGTAATTTAATTGTTGGGACTGGCTTAGAATGGAGGAACTGGGTGAAGGGACAATCCAGCAAGGGATATAAATATGAGAACAGGGCCTTTGAGTTTTCCTTACTTCATGTACTCAAGAGTTTGAAAGTTTCCCTCATAACTCTGAGGCTTTTTTCTTTTACACTTATTTCGGCACATCTAGTTTCTGACTTCGGCGTCTTGCCCAAGCTCACCAAGACGGCTTTTTCTTGAACCACTGTGAGCCAACTGTTGCTCCTAAGTCGCTAAGACCTTCTACCCCACGGTGAAACCTTTGGATTGTTCATCCAGTATTTGGGGAACAGCAACATTTCCTCCTTTCTCTTGGTTTTGAGGAACCCAGCTTCCTTTATAAAATCTCTAACTTTGGTTTTCACAACTGACCCTTAACCAGCCAGATATCTATAACTGGTGCCTCTGAACTTTGAGGGCTGCTCCCAACATCAATGCCAACATTTCAGAAGGTGGTTTTGTCAGGTTTTCTCAATTTAAAAAATTGATTTGTTCCAATTTTTCTACACTTAAAGGACACAAGAGTCCACAGATAATGTGGGTAATTATTTTTTCATCAGGTTGCCATGGTATAGCTTTTTCAAAAACAGGTCACTTCTCAGATACCCATCTGAAAAATGGGTAGGGCAGTAAATGTTTTCTATGGCTAGCAGGATGCTTCTGAGTATTAGGCAAATAAATGCATATAAAGTGCTTAGCAGATGTCAGCAACTATGTATCCCTTGTGATCGTTCCACTGTATTAAATGAGCAAATGGACTAGAAGTGATATAATGACCCAAAGCCACAAAGAAAGGCAGAGCTGAAGTTAGTTCACTCCTCTACTGAGGTTTCTGTGTTCCATTCTACAAAGTGTGGGGGATCAGGAAATGAAGTACACCCCCATGCCACGCATACCCCACTTGCTCCCAAAATTGTAGGGCTAGGAAGGGCAGAAAAGGCTATATGAAACCCAGAGGAATACAAAAAGTACCAGTTTCCCAAAGGGCCAAAGACCAGGGTGCCGTGGCTGCCCATAGCACTCAGAAGTCTGAGCCATCTCAGAAGCATGCCCATATCCACGCAGTAACATCTGCAAGAACTTATATAAAGACTCCTCCTCAAATCAAAACGGGGACCTCAGCCCAGCTGGTGTAGCTCAGCGGTTGAGCATCAACCTAGGTAGGATCCAGGAGATCACGGTTCAATTCCTGGTCAGGGCACATGCCTGGGTTGCAGGCTCGATCCCTAGCAGAGGTGTGCAGGAGGCAGCCAATCAACCACTCATCATTAATGTTTCTCTCTCTGAAATCAATTAAAAAAAAAAAAAGGCGACCTCAGACCTGAGAGCTGGAGGTTAAGTAACTTGTGCAAAATCAGAGCTAATAAATGGTGGAGAAAAGATTTGAACTTGGGTAGTTGAACTTGCTCCCATCTTTTACTTTGTATGAACATACAGACTGCTTAATTTACCAAGAATTTAGAATATTCGGATTATTCATCACTGATTTATATGACGGGAAATGGGAAGCTTTAAGATTTTACCTTGAAGGGCTTTTCTAGAAAAGATGCCTTAAAAAAAAAAAAAAATCATAAGATTAGTGGGTAAGTCTCTAACACCTCAAAAAACGGTACTGCCCAGCTACTGAGGTGAATAGTCAGAGCCAGACTTATTTCCCAGGAACAAAGGCCAAAAAACTGCCTTTATAGCTCTAAACCTCTTCAATTACTTCGGGTTTAACTGCAGAGAGGGCTGGAGGACTAACAACTAAATGGCTGGAAACAAAGACACATACACTGCCAGGTGTGGACTTTTATTTTCACAGAGACAACAATGCCTTCCCACATACAAGTATTTACAAACCCCAACTGACTCACCCATCTAGAACCTGGGTTTTTTCCACTTCTCAACATAGTTGGGAACATGGAAACATTAATACCCACATAATTCCGAGTTGGAATTTATCCACCAAACAGTACAGATTACCTAAAAGTGCACTTACCTGCACAACTCATTGTAAGAGCCTCAGTGACACAAACCTCACAGCCGAGGTTTCACCCACCTATTTGGTCTCATACCATGCAAACCTGAACAAGTATGCTGCTATACAAACTGAAAATCGGTTCTCATTTACAATTAAAAAGGTTCTCGACGCTTTAGCAACTATACAGAATATGAAGGTTTATTTCAAAAAGAGTACATTCTTTAAAACCAGGATACACAGATGCACTTAATGTAACAGTACCTTCTGCAAAAATAGGTTGCATAATACTCAGAAATGCAAGGAACAATCTTATTCTCTAAAAATTAGACAGCAAACTCTTTAAGCTTAGACAGCCTTCAAAACGGAGGCTGAAAATGCTTGGTGACAGGTAACTCTCCGGCTGAAACCAGAGCTAGTGCTGCAAATGAACTACCACCACACAGCTGCAAACTACCCTTTATATTCACACGGCGCTAAACGAAACGGTTTTGATTCCAATCTTTTCTAATGTGTATCCGTGCTGCAAGAAAAAAGTTGAATGATACACGAAACTATTAAAAGTTACAACAAAACTATTTAAACATCTTCTCCAAAATTGAGAAAAGCAATCATGTTAAATTTTAAAAAAGGAGAAAAAAAGAAAAGTCTGATAGAACTCTCAAGCAAGGCAGAGGTCCTCTTCGTAAGGAGTAAAATAAAGTTTACTGGAGATTTCAATAAATTATTTTGAAACCATGGTGGGAGCTAATTTTCAGAATCGTCGTGGAGGTCCACCTTTAAATGGCTTAAATCCAGAGCCACTTCCTCTTGGCATGGAGCTGCCACCGATCTGTACAATTCTATTAATTGGGGAGGCATTACTGAAAAAGGTGTAAAAAAAAAAAGAAGTCAGAGAACCAAAGAACAAAGCATTACAGTTAATACCTACAAGGTGCTTATAACTTACCAGGCACGATTCTTTGTACTTTCCCCCTATTAAGTAATTTACTGTTTTCAACAGTCCTAAGAGGTGATGCACCATTACTACTCCACTTTACTGATGAAGAAACTGACATCTGATGGTTAAGTAACTTGTGCAAGAGCACAGAGCCAATAAATGGTAGAGGAAGGCTTTGAACTTGCCTCACAGTCAGACATTTAAGGGTATACACATGAAGGGGCTGGAGCAGTGGTTCTCAAAGTGTGGTCTCCAGATCAGCACAGCCAGGAAGTTGAACCTCTGACATAGAGAACATGTCATTCAAGAAATGTTTCTGGGATCTTTTATATGCATACACAGTAGGTACCAATGAGTGATATAAGAAAAAAAAAACACCACCAAAAAACCCTACAACTAAGTAGAATAAAACTAGTTTATGGAAAGGTCTGACTGCCAGGCTGAGGAATCTGGATTAGGTCCTAGGACCTAGAGAAGCTGCTTGTGGTTTTGAAGCAAGTAGCTGGTATAATAAAAAAGTTCCAGGAGTTAAATTTAGAAATAGTGTGAATGATGGAGCACAAAAAAGGCTAATTTGGGAAGACAAATAGAAGCTGAAATGAGGAAGAAAGCATAGCTCTTACAAATTAAACAAACAACAACTGCACCACACTCAGAATTTATCCTAGGAATGAAGATGGGTAAAGATGAGGCCCAATGCCCGGCCGGGCATGGCTCAGAGGTTGAGCGTCAACCTAGGGTCCTAGGCGATCGGGGTTCGATTCCCCGTCAGGGCACATGCCCGGGTTGTGGGCTCGATCAATGACTCTCTCATCATTGATGTTTCTCTCTCTCTCTCCCCCTCTCCTCTCTCTGAAATCAATAAAGATACATTAAAAAAAAAAAAAGATGAGGCCCAAGGTCTTCCAGGCTGAGAGAACGCGATGCATGGCGGCACTGGCAAATCAGAATACGCCAGAGGCAACAACTGGAACGTGGAGTGTTGAGAAAGGGGAGTTTGCCTGTGACCCTGAATTTATGGAGACAGCAGGGCACCTACATGGAACTCACAATACAGAGCTCCATTTGAAGGAGCCAGCAAAAGAAATAAAAATAAAAAAAGGAAATTAGGATGCATTAGAAACAGAGAAGTGTTTAAAAAAAAAACGGAAAGGCAACAGTGGGAAATAGTGTTTACCCACCGAGGAGCCTAAGACCTAAGAAAGTAAAAGAACCTGTATTTACCAAGAAGCAAAGGCACTGGTGGCCTTTAAAAACTGAAGACAGAATGAGTGATGAGGCTGTGCAGGCACAAGTAGAAATAAACACTTAAGTTTGATGGTAGATGCAACCAATAGAATAGCAGTAACTTGGGTTGCTAAGCAGTTCAGTATTTCTTCTAAAACGGGGCCACAGGAAAGAAAGAACATGCAAGAGAGGTGGAGGCAAAAGCCCTGCCTGCTGAAGGGACTCCATGGGTGCTGGTGTGAACAGAAAATAAAGCTCAACTCTTAGCACATGAACAGGCTGCGGATTAATGTCCTAAGTTTTGCTAGAGTTATCTGAAAAAGGAGGAAGCAGAACATACTTCTAGTTTTCTCCTTCCTCTCTAGGAATTTTAGGAACGGTAGGTAGTGAACAAGAAGATGGTTCCAACCTGAAATTAATGTTCATTATCTACTGGATTCTGACGTACACACATACATACTACCTATATCTACATCAATATGCCAGAATGCCAATCAATTAATTACAGTGAGGAATATAAATGCAAACATTAACATCGGCTGCCCCGCATAAAATCTCCTGGAGGTCCTGAGTTAATATGGGGAAATCTCTGTGCAGATCCAGGGTTGCTGCTGGTCAATCTCTCAGAAGATATTCTGACCGTTAAGGATAAAGGTTTGGCTGTGTGCTGGCAGAAAATCCTTAACTAATTACACATTTACCTTGTATGTTGGGTAATCATGCCTGCCCCTGTCCGGCCATCACCCATTCGCCTCGCATCGTGATAGCCAGGCCCCTGAGAGGGCGGACCATGCCACTCCTTTCTTGGTCCACTTGTGTCCCGTCCATGGCGTTCAACTACATGTCGATCTTCAGGATAGTGCTAAAGAACAGCATATTAAAAGAGAAGCCATAAATAAATAAATAACTAACTAAATAAATAAATAAATGAGAAGCCATGATCCCCTCAGCCTCACACCAGTTTACTTATGCCAGTGTGCTTTTATTTTTTTAAATTTTCATTATTGATGTTAGAGAGAGGGGAAGGGATACATAGAGAAACACTGATTTGTTGTTCCACTTAATTTATGCATTCACTGGATGCTTCTTGTTATGTGCCCTGACCTGGGACAGAACCCACAACCTTGGTGCATTGGGATGATGCTCTACCACTGAGCTACCTGGCCAGGATGCTAGTGTGCTTTTAATGTCAGAAGCAAATTAGTAAGATCTCTGGGAAGAAAAAAGAATTAATAATAATATATCAATAAATATAAAGGGTTTCCAGGGTAGGGTATGGGGGAAATGATTCAGCACTGTAATTTCTATTTCTATACCTTCCAGCACCCATGTACTTTTTGAACCCTGAGGATTTCTGGACCTCTATATAATGCCTGGATCTATCTATCTATCTATCTATCATCTATCATCTATCTATATAAAGGCATAGTTAGAAGTCTTAACCTTAGGACAACTTAGGGTATGTGATCAACATGTGAATAGCACATAAAAACAGAGCTGTTATCTTATTTTACAGAGTACTAGTTAGTGCTATGGCTCTGACAAGGTCTTACATCCATGACTATAAAAAACAGTACTGAACACAAAGAAACAATAGCCCCAGAACTAAGGATCAAACATTATGATACTTAGCCTACAGAAAACAGAGCTAAAGGAAACCTAGAGAGTTAATACTGGCAGAACAACTTACAGACTTGCATTATGAAAAAACAGAATTTTTGAGGGAGAAACAGGATCCCTTCCAGAACATCTTTCATAAAAGAATATCTGAATGCAGAGGGCCAGTCTATGAGATACCTTAGGTTTTACTCTAAATAAAGCAGGATGTCTGATTATATACCCAGTCTTACAGTTCTTTTTGGGTAAAGAACTCAATGAACTGATCTACTGAATGTTTCTACTTATTAGAAACATTAAAGCTTATAATGCCATCAGGCCCAGATTTGTTTCACAAATGCTCCAGATGAAACATTAAGTATACAGTGGTATTAGCTAGAGTGCCAAGGGATTAAAAAATAATTTTCTAGTAAAAAAAGTCCCTAAAAGTTCAATGAGGATAAAAAGGGGACACCTGTAATATTTTCAACAATAAAGATAAAGAAACGTAGAAAAAAAAGTCCCTAAAAAACCTAGTATTTTGTATTCAAATAGAAAACAGCGCCAGAGTATAATGCAGGTTGGAGAACGAGTACATACACTTCAGGATCCTTTTCAGTGTATAATTTCACACGATATTCTATACGTGCTACTTCAGCCCATAGTTGTTTTCAAATTAGCTGAAAGGTTTTTGCTCATTATAGTTGCTTAAGAGATGAAAATACTTTCTTCTGTCCAGGATCATTAACTCATAAAACATCCAAGTCAATAAAGCATCACAAAAGTAAAAAGCAACTTAAAAATGTAAAATATTCCACTCATCTACCTTTAGAAATAAAACAACAAAAAAGAGACAAAAGCTTTCTTTCAGTTCTACAGATAAAGCTACTTAATGAAGTAGTAAAGGAGAGTACTTAAAAAAAAGGGAAACACAAATATGGGCAAACATTTCCCACTTAGTGTGAAAGCCTCAACTGCGTAAAAAGAAATAAAACCAAAGTCACTAGGAAGGTTCATCTACCGAATATAATAATTCTCAAATTTCAGCAGCCAGTTTACTTAGAAGGCGGAATAAGAGCCCGGCCGGGCGTGGCTGAGCGGCTGAGCGCCGACCTAGATGCAGGCGATCGGGGTTCGCCAGGTCGGGGCACAGGCGCGGGCTGCGGCTCCATCCCCAGCAGGGGGCGCAGGGGGCAGCCCATCAATGACTCGTCGTTGATGTTTCTGTCCCTCCCTCTCTCTGAAATCAATAAAGATATATTTAAAAAAAAAAAAAGGAACAAGAATTTCAGGGCTCGTGTCCTCCTCCTTTGAACTACTCATGTTCAACTACTAACAGGAAAATAAGGAAAAAATGAAGATCTTTTACAGGGAACTAGTCTCCCAGCGATTCCGGTCAGGTCAAACCGCTAAGCGCCGCCGGGACCCGCGGGGACGAGGAGCGGGGAGCCCCGAGCGTACCTGGGCGCCGCCGCGGTCCGCGATGACCCTGTCGCCCTCTCTGCTGCCGTAGCCCGACGCGCCACTGCGACTCCCGGGGGGCGCCCCTCTCACGCCGTGTCCCGACACTTCTCTCCCGGACCGCTCCGGCCTTTCCACTCTGGCAAAGAAACCCCGATGCTCACGC